GGACTTTGATATATAATCACCTAACCAAATCACCTAAAAAAGAATAAATTAAATATTTGTAAACTAAAAAGAAAATATATCTGTTATTACTATTATTATTACCATTAACAAGAGTCCCTGTCTCATCTTTGATCTTCAACATAGATGAAAATAATGGTCAAAAGAGATAGTGCTTAGTGAGGTGCTTTCTTCATCCCATGTGCAATCTCAGTGGAATTATCAAAGTCTTTTAAAACACACGTTGTTCAGGAATTTGTAATGAATCCATGCTCAGATTCTAGTTATTTTCTACCCTGAAATTCTATGAGTGCACATCAAGATACTTTACTTTTGATTTGACTTTGTATCAGATGATGTCGCATGTTAAGTAAAGTGAGATTAAAACAATAGGGCTTGGCATGGGTTTCCATTAGTAATGTTAGTAAAGTTAGAAGAAATGCCCTTTCATATGTTCTACACAGAGAACTGGAATCTTGTTAATCATCATTTTAAAGCATTTCTATGGAATGCAACTATATCAGTGTTGCTTTTTTCCATGTTAATGAAAAATGAGTGGTACACAGGGAGCGAGTATCCCTATTAAACTGCTGGCATCCATTACCACAGTTGCTTAGAAGAAATAAGCACAGATGGTGGGTATATTACTTCGCTAACAAAAAAATTTGCCTCTCTGATTTTTTGTGTTTTGTTTCCTCTTTCTCATTGAAATGTGAGCAATTTTTCAAATCAAGAAGCCTCAGTAGGGGTTCTTGGAATGTTTTATCCATTACTTTACATTTGGGAGGAAAAGAGTGATTAATGATTTATTAAAATTTCATAATGAGAGAAACTTGAAAAGTTTTTGTTAGAAAAATTCTTATTTAATTTAGATGCTGTATTTTTTGCATGCAAATTAACATCTGTAGGGAGTAAGTTTCTATATTAAACTAGGCTCCTAAATTACTCACTTAGTGATGACAAAGCCATTTAGCCCAGGTTAAAAATACCTATGTGGATCTTCTATTTAGACATGGCTCAATGCAAATTTGTCTGTGGTATATACATTAAGGAAAAGAACACCGGGCTATATTTAGGTTGAAATGCATGCAGATAGTAATATCTCCAAATCTTCCCCACCTCCCATCAGTCTTAACCATATAATTCAATATTTTAGGATTTTTTTTTTAACCAAGTGAACATTCCTGTATATCTAGGATCATATCAAGGAACATGATGTTAGAAATCCAGAAACTCCATTTAATTTAGACATTAGCTCCTAGAATACCACTTATGATCATTTGGAACATCATTGATTCATTTTTAAACATTTGTACACAGGGTCATAGAATATGTTTCATATCTTGCTTCCTTCATTCAGTATTTAGTACAGAAGAAATTGGATATAATTAATTATATGCTCATTCAATTAATTTTATTGATTCTCATTGCTATGTGGTAGTTTGTTATATAAAGACACTGTCTTGATTTGTGCATGCCAGTGTTGATGGATATTTGGGCTATGTTCAGATTTGCTTTATTTGAAGTATACTGAACTTTCTTGCACTTGTCTTTTGATAAATATTGTTGAGTGTATTAGAGGAGCAGAGGGTATGTTTAACTTATGTATATGTGTCAAATAGTGGCTTATACAATTTCTCTTTCCATCTACATTGGGAGAGGGCTACAGTTGCAACACTTGTTTTCATCTAAACTATCCTGGTATGCATGTACCACTATCAAATTATGGTTCACCTTAACCTTACAAAAGCAGAAGAGAATAACTGATTTTTTTTTCAATCATATTTCATTGGTATCGTCAGTGTTCTCCTTTGCAGTATGTTTTCTTATCTAAATGATACAGAAGAACAGTCATCCTGAAAAAATTTAGTGATATGCTTGCTTGGAAATATATTCTTGATTGATTATAATGCTGGTGTTTTTAATCTAAATATTTAGTATTATTTCATTTTTTGCTATGAACTGTAATAATTATGAACAAAAACAACAATTCTTTATATTGATATGAAACAACATTCCTCCAACCTAAAAGATAATTTCATGGTCTTTGGTTTGTGAATTCAGTAAACAGTTTAACAAAAAATAAGACATGAGTCTCAGTTTTTATTGTTTGCACAGTCTGTGTTTCTAGAAAAATAGACCAAATGGCAAGTGTGTAGTCTGTTAGTTTCTTCTCATCCTGCCAATAACTGTTATTTCACTCGTTAGCCAATTATATACAACTATTTATGGAGATTTTTGAATAACTCATTCTAGACAGAGAGGTCTTTGAAAATATCTGTTACAGCAAAAGATAAACAATACTTTACACCAAGGTAATCACATCTCTACTGTGTATTAATTAGCTTCAGGAGTTTTCATTACTAATTATTCAGTGATTATAGTTGGAGCTCACTTTCCCTGGTTTCGTATTCTGCACACTTAACAGTATTGCCTTGGGAAAGTTGTTTAACTAACTCAGATCTCAGATTCCCAATCTGTAGAGTGGGAATAATTATAGTACAATTACTATGTGCTATATTAGTCTGGGTCCTCCAAAAAGCGTATGCCAAGCATGGATTAAACAGAGCATATTTTATTAAGAGAAAGACTATGAGAGAAAATGGGGAGGAATCAGGTTAAGGCACAAGATCAGTGGTGATGAATGTGACCAAGTGAGTGAATAAGGGAACAGAGGAAAGCTCAGTGGAATATTCTAGGAGGATGAACACTCTGTGGTATGGTTAGCAAGGGCTTCAGGGCAGCGTGAGTCACTATTGGCTGTCAGAGAGCCTGTGGCCTCCAGCAGTAGACCGGTCTTAGTGGTCCTGCTGTACCCAGTCATTACTGGAACTGATGCAGAAATAGATCTTAGAGTTAAGCTGCGGGTGCCCAAAGTCAATTAAATTTCTTGTACTTTGACATGTATGAGGCATATCCCCATGGCCACAACAAGTGATTATCATGAAGATGAATTGGCAAACCCCAAGGAAAGTAATTAGAAAAATGCCTGAGTCATAGGAATACATTTATCTATTTATTTATTCATATTATTCATGATTATTCTTAATAATCAGCACATTAATAAAAGAACCATATATGCAATCTGTTTGAAAGATTTAGAAGAAAAATATAGTGGTGCCACAAAGGAGCTAACAGAAGCTTATTATTTATTGTTTACTTGATTCTTCCTAACTTAAAATGTTTTTATATTAATAGAACATGTATAATTGCCTCTGTCTTTATTATTATTATTAGTGTGCCTTGCCAAGTATCGAATATTCACTGAAACACCAAACTTCAAACCTTTTGTTTCTAACTAAAGAAATGGATTTGAGATTTTATAAAAAGTAAAAATTATATTGTTTCTTTAGCCAAAATAAAAAAGATTATTAAGATATTCAGTCATTTTCAATGATAATATAAAAGAATACCAGCTATTTATTATCATTTGAAGGACACGAGCAAAAATTGTTTGATCAACTTTTTAAAACTGGCCATTGGGTATGCATGATCTTGAGAAGAACTGGCTATTACTTGGAACTTACTTGCTTCACATACAATACCATGCAGCCACCAGAAGAACCTATTATGCTCTGAGTTTTCTCTGCTGTGGAGAATGCAGCCAATGCTTGTGGATAATTGTGCTGTTCTGTTCCAATAGAAGGAAGAAGAATTATGTTGAAATAATGTGAAAATGCTGAATGTCTGAGGTCTCTTTTTTGTGATCCTTTTATGTAAGCTAACAGATTACCAGAGAGTCTTAAACACTGTAGATAGAACTGCAAGTATATGGATTCCTATGTCTTATCCCCCATTTATACTTAGTCGTGTGATAGTATCGGATCTGTTCGCATCCTTTGCCATCTCCTGCTGAGTCTCCATCCTTTGCCCTGAAGTTTGCATGAACTACACAACCTGAGACCTACCTATCTTTACCTCAAACCTTAAGATCTCCCTGAGCTTTTTTCCATATGGCTTTGTCTAAATGTACTTCTCTCTATGCTCTATGTCTGTGACCTCTGGTATTCCCATCTCTCGTTTGACATACATGCCCATCTTGACACCCAGGACACCGAACATCTTCATCTCTAGCATTGCAGTTTGTTCACTTGTCTTTATGCTATAGCACATTGTCAGCAAAATAAGGATAAGCATACAGCTGCATCCTAGTAAATAAATATATATATATATATATATAATATAGTAATATATGTGAATGACTGTATGAACAGATTATATTAAATTCCCAGTTAGAAAATAACATTGTAAAGACAAAATTGATTCTTACACCTCAAATCCAAGACACTTAGATCAGAACTTGAATATGGTAGTAACACATCTTTGTTACTAATGAATTAAATTATTTGTGTGACTACTAAGTTGGCATTGGGTGATTTTTGAGGTGGGGAGAGATAGTTACTTGTCATGATTTTAACCACCTGTGAATTCACCCACTGAACCTAAAATGATTTATTAGATCCTTATTTAAGGAAACTTTAGTGGAAATAGACTGCTTTTCCTACATGCAAAAAATGTTTCCAATTTTCATGTATGATTTTGACTTGTGAAGTTAATATACATATATAGTATGCTGTTTTATCTATTGACCTATTTACCTGTTGAGAGAAAAGAAATTTTTATATTGTAATAAGTTAAAATATTTTGGGGACATCTCTATATTTGTAAAATGAAATAAATTGACTACGATAATATAGATACAGGCCAATGTATAATTCAGCAGATATTGGTAACAAAAGTAAAATGCATGTGAACTCTCCCTTCGTCTGTTGGTAAACAGTATTGAAAATACACTGAAAGAAAAATATTAGAATAGTCTCATTTGCTGTTAAGTATTTTACCAGAAAACAGTGCACCTGTGCTAGGTTCTGTTTCAAGAAAAAATACATTTTGTATAATCTGAAATGAGTGAATATCTGAATTCAAATCTGTTCTAATACTTGTGACAGGTAATGCTTTTACCAGGTTACTAAGCAGCTCTCTTTCACTTTTTGATTTGTTAGCTATACTCAACGGGTGGTTGGAAATGGAATCAAAGCCCAGTCTGGAAATCCTGAGGTCAAAGTCAAAGGAACTGATCCTGTGATAAATCAGATTATTGATAAACTGAAGCATGTTATTCAGGTAAGTGCTGGCTCTCTTTCAGTACACTCATGCTAAGTAAGAAGTGGTTACTTCCCGTGACACATGATAAATTTGCTAATGTTATTTGATAATCTCAACGAAAATTGAGTGTTAGAAAAATGTACTTGTATCTGGGTTTTAGAGACACATGGTCTAGTGATTTTACATGTATATAATGGAAGCAGTGTTTTGATATGTAGAAAATTTGTGTCTGTAACAATGAGTCATAACTTTTGGATTTCAGTAAATAATAAGAACCTCCACTGAGGTTTTGTCCCCAACAAACAGGTTATAGACATAGAAACTCCTGTGACTCTTAAGGAAATACATAGCTGATATTGGAAGGTGCCAAAATCACTTTCCATGCAAAGTTTGAGCCTGGCTGTGAAAGTTTTTGTGCTTTTTCAATAAGAGTAAAGTCATAAATGAGTAGTATGCTTTTCTTATATTTATTTCCTCTATCACTTTGTTTTTTTGCATGTTAGCTTGTAATTTCTTAAGGATTGTTTATGAAATACTTCTTTTTTATCTTTAATAATATGATTTAATCTAGTGATAGAATTTGCATGAGCAGTTAATAATGCTATGTGCAGTGGGAACAAATGCCATTGTCTGGGTTGCACCTCATGGCACCATAGTATCATATGTAGATCTAGATTATTTGCAAAGTCTAATGCAGAATTTAACAGATCAAAGGAGTGGTAATATTAATTGGTTCCTCTTGTGAAGACACAGCAAAATTTTGTGGCCTCCAAAGTGGGGAAAACCCCAGGGAGGCAGGAAGGAAAACTGTCTATTTTTCTTGTCACTTTGGGAAGACATATAAAATATCTGATGGTGCAGTAGCACATGAATATAGTTTGAGAGTACAGAGATATAAGAACCGAGTGTTTTTATAGAATATATACATGATGAAAACAGATAATCTTATTATAGATTATAGGAATTGAACTGCAACATATACCACCATACTCAGATATAGAAAAACATATTCACTAATTAAAAAGTAGATACCCCAATGTAGGAAATACTAAAACTCTGGGATCCTCTTCCACCACCGACCTGGCACCCAGGTAGAGTGACATTCCTCTTTCTTGTTTTATGGTTTTAAAGCTATATCCTTTTCAGGGAAACAGAAGGAGATGCTCTCACTTTTTCTTTTTTTAGCTTCCATGTTAAATCGAGTCCCATTCTTTCATCTTTACATGAGTGTACAGATCTCCAGTTACTCATGCTTAAGTTTTAGTCCAGGGCTACAAGAGAATATCAAATAAAATGCTACCTCTGAGGTCTGTCTTTTTAAAGTCTACTAGGGTGATATGATTAAAATTTAGATTTTCTTGGAAAATAGCAGAGAGTTGTATTTTGGAGGTGTTACTAAAATATTCACCTTTAATGCCTTAGAACATATTCTTCTTAAGCTTGCTCACCTAGAGATGAAGAGAAATTTTTTATTTCACAGGCTTCTGACTGGGAATGTGTGCGCCCTCACAGGGTGGCTGTTGTATTATCAAAATCAAGGGAAAGTTAAAAGAGCCCCCTAGTGTCAAGTCTAAAAAGGATCTATAGTGAGGACCTTGCTGTGAGAATTTATTAATTTAGGTCTAATACAAAGCAAGTGAGGAAACAGAAATAGAAATATATTGTAGAGTCATCTAATGAATGGACTTAGAGGACTATTTGTTTGTGTTTGATTAATTGGTCTGGCTTTTATTGTGATGGATACTAAGTGTATCTGATGCTAAAAAAATGTTATCTGTTGTCATAGGTATAAATAAATCTTTCTCTTACTCTTTCAATTTCTGTGTTAAGTAGATGGAAGTGTCATCCATATTTATTGCCAAAATTGGCTTCATATATTGGCCTGCAAACATGTTTCTTCTTGGCCAGCCATTGAATTGCTCCTCATTTTCTACCCTATAACTCCTGGCATGAGAGTCTCTGAACAATCAGCTAGGACTTTTACTTTGAAAAATCATCTCTTGAAATAATAATTTATTTAAAATATTCTACCAGGTGTTTCTTGGTCTCCCACTTACTGGCTTGGTTCTGCACTAAAATTGTAGTGGTGTGAAAGCAAATACAATGTGTTTTTCATGGTATTTGCATTCCAAGAAAAAGCAACCAAATACAAAGACTGTAATTGACATGTCATAAAATAAACAAACCAGAATGCAGTAAGGAAAGGTATTTAAGGAGAGTGTTTTAGTGGTGTTCACACAGAGGGGAATGTTGGGGTTAATACTGAATCAGAAAAGAGAGGATTCATGGGAAAACTTGGGAGGATTGCATTTGGGGTAGAGGACCCACACATGCAAAGAACTGTGTAGGAATAAAATGTAGCTGGAACAGAATGAGTAAAGACTAGAGATAGATATAAACTGAATGAAGGGGAATCTGGTTTGCTGTCCTTAGATGGAGTTCAGGTTATATTCTATGTGAAACAGAAAACCTTTTAAGGACTATAGACAAAGGATAATATAATATAATCAATGGCTTATAAAGTTAATGTTAGCTTCAAAATGGAAAATTGATCTTGAAGAATAAGAATAGATGAAAGTAACAGAGCCAAAGATCATAGTGATTGATATTAGATGTGTCCTGATGAGAGATATCTTTAGATATTAAAACCATTGATGATATTAAGTATTTTGAGAATTATTACTCAGTTTTTCTCTGGGAAGATTCCAGAAATACATACATGAAGCAAACAGTAGCCCTGAAAGCAGTGGTCCTAGAGAAGGGGTAGTCTGAGCTGGGTGATGCCCTGGGGGGTTGGTATCCTCTGAGCATGCACCAAAGAAGAATTGTGATTGGAAAATATGTAAAAGTTGCAAAGCTTCTTGGAGGAAAGTCATTGCAAAAACACATCTAATGTTACATAATTATTTAGGGAAACCCCTATGTCACATCATATCAAGAAAAATATTGCTGAGACAATGTGATATAAATAGACTATATGGATTATAATGATTTATAGATTCATTCACAGAGAATACAGTGGAATGTTAAAGTCCTTCTGATAGAAAAGGAAGCCTTGAGGAAACGAAAGTCATGTAGGCTTTACTTCACACGTGATTCTAACTTCTTTCTCTGAAAATTCCACTGTACAAATGCTCAGAGGTATTTTCCAGCAATATTCTATACTCCACTTATACTTGAGATGGACAGTACTTTAAAAATTACCTGTGATAGGGCCCTCGCTGGTGGCGTAACGGGTTAAGGCACAGCACTGCAAGCTAGCCTCAGTCGACTCAGTATAAGTTTGATCTCTGGCCCCGGAGGTGACCCACATGGTGCAGCAGACCTCTCCTCCCTCAGCAGTGTACTTCATTGATCTGCCTGTTCTGCTCCCCACTCTGTCTCTGATAAAGCCTCTCACCATCTCTGCACCTCTTGCTTACACCCCCATTCTGTATGCATAAATAATATATAAATCTTTAAAAAAAATTACCTGTGATAAATATGGTATCATCAGTAATCAGCAAGGGGCTTCTAAAGGGAAAGACTTTCCTAAAGAGTTAACGTGAACATTCTTTGCAACAGATAATTCTGACCTTTGATAACAGATTGGAAGCAGCACTTGATTCTTCTTAGTACATTTGAGTGAGGAAATGTATGAACACTTTAATTCAGATGTTCTCTCCTAGCAAGCTCATTTGAAAATGCCTTATTGTTCCTATTGACTAGGTTTGTATAGGGAAAATTTCTTCAGCAAAGGTCACAGTTGTTCAGCAATCTATCGCATTAAATAGCATCTATCATTTTTTTTTTTAAGAAAATGATGTCCACAGTTAAAGCCCTAACTGTGGAATACTGTTAGTTGTGAACGATAATGACCCACTGCTTAGAAATTACCTACATTTATATGAAACATAAAAAGTAATATCACAGCAATTTTCTATAAGCCTTTTATTGCAAGACCAATAAACTTTACAATGTTGTTAAAAGTAGTAGATTTAAGTAACATTTTATTTCTTTAAACCTAACAATTCCAATACATATAAGAATATTATTAGTATCTATTAAATATTCATTTTTATGGAAAGACTAAAATTTCTTTAGTAAGATGGCTTCTTATATAAAATAAATTTGATTTTTAAATCTGAGAAAAGCAATGATCATAACCATTTGCTTAAAATCAAAATATGTCAATATTTTATGATAGGCATTTCAATATTCAAAAACTGCAGGCTTTAAGCAGAGACAAAAATCACTCATATTTTATCTAGAAAAGGATGTGCAAAATTGCCCCTTTTCTTTTTTCCCATTCTGTTCCTAGGATATCAATCTGATAACTAATGACTCCAAAGCTATGATAGACTAAGATAAGGTTGTAATTTAAATTTCAGTGAATAGTCATAAGATCAGTGTTTATATATACTGCAGTTGACAGAATTTTAAAAGATATTTGTATCTAAAAATTTCTGAATAGTGAAACCTGGCCAAGTGTATTTTCCTTAAAACCCTTAACTATGAAATGTATTTCAGGAATTTTCCCCCTTGTTAGTTGCTTTTAGCATCAGCACAGAACTCATCAATCATTATTGATTTGTCCGTGGCTAATTGAGAATTCTCTGACCATTGGGAGTCTGCTGATTATGTGAACTTCCTTCTCCTCTAACTAATTCCTTTCCTTGCTCAAAGAATTCCCCATAGTACCCTGATTCCTTCCCTCTGCCTTGCACACCCCCCACCCCCCGCCCCGCATGCTAAGGTCACATCTTCAGGTTTACAGAATTGACATTCCAGAGAGATGGGCACATCTTGATTTTGTGTGAGTAATGCAGTTGTGATCCAAACACATTCACTTGTCTTCTAGTTCAGAAGAAGACATTCACAATGCACTCAATACCTTTGAATGGTCTGCTAATCCCACAATTAGTTTGTCTGAGTAAATGTGATGGCAGGTTGCTTTCAGGTATGTGTGGTAGAAGGCACCGACTCCCTATTGGCCATTTCATTCAAAACATCAATTGTCAGTAGAAACCCAACCATTT